TTATTGATAGTGTCCACTTCTTTGCAGGTTCTAGATCAACAATGTTCTATATCTGCAAGATATGATTCCCATGAAAATACTATCCAATAAAATATATTTAAAACAAAGACACACGTGACACCGGAGTAATTTTCAATTTTATTGCTAGTGTCCACTTCTTTGTGGGTTCTAAATCAACAATGTTTTATATTAAAAAGATATGATTCCCATGTAGAAACTATCCAATAAAATATATTTAAAACAATGGCACACGTAACGCCGAAGTAATTTTCGATTTTATTGCTAGTGTCTACTTCTTTTGGGTTCTAGATCAAAAATGTTCTATATCAACAAGATATGATTCCCATGAAAAAAAAATATCCAATAAAATATATTTTAAACAATGGCACACGTGACGCTGGAGTAATTTTTAGTTTTATTGCTAGTGTCCACTTCTTTGTGGGTTCTAGATCAACAATTTTTTATATCAACAAGATATGATTTCCATGTAGAAACTATCCAATAAAATATATTTAAAACAATGGCACACGTGATACTGGAGTTATTTTCTATTTTATTGCTAGTGTCTACTTCTTTACGGGTTCTAGATCAACAATGTTCTATATCAACAAGATATGATTCCCATGAAGAAATTATCCAATAAAATATATTTAAAACAATGGCACACGTGACGCTGGAGTAATTTTCAGTTTTATTGTTAGTGTCCACTTCTTTGTGGGTTCTAGATCAACAATGTTCTATATCAACAAGATATGATTCCTATGTAAAAACTATCAATAAAATATATTTAAAACAATGGCACACATGACGCCGGAGTAATTTTCAATATTATTGATAGTGTCCACTTCTTTGCAGGTTCTAGATCAACAATGTTCTATATCTGCAAGATATGATTCGAATGAAAAAACTATCCAATAAAATATATTTAAAACAAAGACACACGTGACACCGGAGTAATTTTCAATTTTATTTCTAGTGTCCACTTCTTTGTGGGTTCTAAACCAACAATGTTTTATATCAAAAAGATATGATTCCCATGTAGAAACTATCCAATAAAATATATTTAAAACAATGGCACATGTAACGCCGAAGTAATTTTCGATTTTATTGCTAGTGTCCACTTCTTTGTGGGTTCTAAATTAACAATGTTCTATATCAACAAGATATGATTCCCATGAAAAAACTATCCAATAAAATATATTTAAAACAATGGCACTCGTGACGCCTGAGTAATTTTCAATTTTATTGCTAGTGTCCACTTCTTTGTGGGTTCTAGATTACAATGTTCTATATCAACAAGATATGATTCCCATGAAAAAATTATCCAATAAAATAAACTCCCTCCGTCCCCTTTTAGATTACAATATTCTCTTTTAGTTATAATTAAGGAAGAGTCAAATCAAATTTTTTCCCTCCAAATTACCCCCCAAATCCCCCAAATATCCCTCCCACTTACACAGATGAATAGTGTGTGAATAGTGTAGGAGTGGTTGAGTTATTGACATTGGAATAATAAAATAATGATAATTAATTGATTCAAGTACTCAAAATGGGGAACACTACATTATTACCATTACATTTAGAGGGAAACAATGAAAATTAAAATCCAAAAGAATTCATTTCCCTCCTAAAATTTCATTTCCTAGTCCTTTCTATAAATAACAACATTTACTCCTTCCATTAATAGCCTTCAATGCTCCCTTTCTCCCAACATTAGCCTTCAATGGACCCTTTTCTCCCATTTGATCTTAATCAATTGCCCTCAGATTTAGAGGGTATTGATACTGCAACTGTTGCCGCAATATCTCTTGCCCTTGGACCTTCGGACTTCTTCAATGGACGTCTCTCTCCCGCCAATCCCGATCCTGGTGCTGAACGATAAGCAGCTACGAATGAAACTGCCCTCCTTGCTCCTGCCTCTGTGCACACTGGGCAGAGCTCATCACCTGCAGAAGAAGCAGAAAACCAGCAGCAAAGGAATACAAATACGAAGCCAAGGTTGTCAAACGAGGTAAGAAAGCACATTGTTGACGTATTACTATCCACTTCTATGAACAACAAACTTCAGAGGGGGGTAATTCAAGCTCTTGTACAAGAGTACAACACATGTTATAAAACCATTTACTTACTGTGGGCAAGAGCTAGAGAACAAATGCAAGAAGGACTACCCATTGATGTTGACTTACAGATGAAAGGGTGCGTTGGTAGAAAGAAATTAGATTTAGATTTACAGAAGCTTGCAGATGTGCCTTTCTGCAAAAGAAAAAATATGAGGGCAATGGCTTCTCAATTAAATGTGTCAAAGAGTACCATACACAGACTCTTGAAAAGGAAGCAGATAAAGAGACATTCAAATGCCACTAAGCCACTGCTCACTGACATGGGTAAGATAAAAAGGTTACGCTTTTGTTTAGGTAACTTAATGTCTCATACCATTCCCATAAACCCAATTTTTCACCACTTTTATGACCATATACACATTGATGAGAAATGATTTGAGCTAACCCAAGAAACAACCACATTTTACACCCTCCCAAATGAGGAAGACCCATATAGAACCACATAGTACAAGAAGTTCATTCCCAAAATTATGTTTCTGGCAGCAGTTGGGAGGCCAAGATTTGGAAACAATGCGGAAATTCTATGAGATGGTAAGGTGGGAAATTTTCCCTTTACATATCAGGAACCTGCAAAAAGGAACAGCAAGAATAGGCCTGCTGGAACACTGGAAACAAAGCCAGTGCAAATTGTTAACATGACTGCTATGAAGGCCATGCTTCTTAACAAAGTCATACCAGATATAAAGTCTAAGTGGCCTGATCTTGATAATAGGCAAATCATCATACAACAAGATAATGCCAAACCACATGTAGACCCTAGTGATATAGACATTTTCCAGCTTTGTCAACAGGATGGTTGGGATATTAAACTTCAATTTCAGCCACATAACCGTTTAGATTTAAATGTCTTGGACTTAGGATTCTTTAGAGATATTGACACAATCAAAGATCAGAAAGCTCCAAAGAGTGTCACAGAACTAATAAGTGATGTGGAAAATGCATTTGTTGAAATGACTCCAGAAAAACTGAATAAAGTATTCTTAAGCTACCAATGTGTTATGCAAGAGGTTATAAAGCAGAAAGGGGGCAACCAGTATAAGCTTCCTCACATTGGGAAAGATAGATTGGCAAGAATGGATCAGTTACCAGAGAATATTGAGGTCATCATGGATAATGTTCAAGCAGCAGAAGATTTCTTAGCTACACAAGCAGGTGTATAAAGTGCTGATAACTTTTTTTGGTTTTTGGGAAGTGCAAATGGTTTGGGGACAAGTACTTTGGGAGTACTAATCCAACAAGACTTTTTTTGCTTTTTGGGGTTTTGGGTGTGGATAGTATGTGAATATGTAACTCAAAGTAGTCATGTAGCATGTTTGTTATCAAGTTAAGGGAATATTGTAATCTAAATTATGGACTGGAGGTGCAACCATTGATCTCAGAAACATTTCTCTCATCACAGATCTCAAGGGAGTTTGGGTTTGATAGACCTCAAGGCCAAATACACATATTTCATGTGCAAGACCTCAGGGCCTGGTAGAACTCAGACCTTATGGTCATCATTGTTAAACATGAAATGCTTTACTTCATAAACCTGAAACCTTATACATCTATCACGCAAAACACACACATAAACCTGTGCAAGAACTCAGGGCCTGGTAGAACTCAGACCTTATGGTCATCATTGTTCTGAAGGATATGGTTTACTTCATAAACCTTAATCATTTATAAACCATACACAAAAGGGAACAGACAAACATTTAGGGTGTGGTAGACCTCAAGGCCATGTGCAAGACCTCAGGGGTAATACCTTAAGCATACATAAACTATACACATTACCTAGACAAATTTGTGGCTAAAACACACAAGGGCTATCACATAACAAGCAAAATGTCCTCTAAGCTATGCAACACAGTGTTCATGGTCAATTTAACATAAATTTTAGTATTGAAACATACATAAGCCCCCTATCATCATCAGTCCCAATGAAATGCATGTCTTCTATGAGTAAGAAAAAAAATAAAAGAAGGCATACCGCAAGGATCAAGGCCAGGAGGTATTTTTTTGGGGCTGTCCATGAAAAAATAATCAGTGCATGTCATCTTTTCCGGGTAATACCCAGAGCTCACCTCTTCCCCTTCACCTTCTTCACTCACAGAACCATCAATTGAGTCTTCTACAACCACACACAGTTGTACTTCTTTCGAAACCTCCAAGTAGGATCCGTCTCAGAAGTGTAGCACAGTGATTCAACACGTACCTTAAGTTTTGATTCCAAAACAGGAGGTGATCTAGATATAGATCTAGATTGTGATTCTTGAGACAAGAGATCAAAACTGGGCATATATGGATCGCGTTTCAGTGGAGGGGACATTGTAATCGTAAAGATAGATTTTAGATTGGAGAAGATGAAGTGGGGGAGGAGAGGAAGAGGTGAGGAGACGAGAGATCTAGATTAGATCTAGATCGGATATGGGGTGGCTGACAGAAAAGGGGAGTGAGGGTAAAAGAGTGAATTTACTGTAAAATTAAAAACTTTGTAATTCTTTTTGGGACAAAAATGTGAGGGAATATTATAATCTATTTCGGGACGGAGAGAGTATTATAAAATAAAAATGTCATGCAATTATTAAAACTCAAACCATTGACAAAAAGCAGCCCCACCCAGTGTCCAAAAAATTAGCCTATCCCATTGTTTAAAAAAATCAGCCGAGTCCACACACCCCGGGATATTTTTCCTCCACAAACTAAATTTTCATTTGAAGTTCTCTTGTAGTAGCATTTTAACTTGCATTGCAAGTATTCATCTTTCTTTCTTTGTTTTTTTGAGGAAATAGTCATCTTATTAAAGATTGTCTTTTCATGGAAGTTATTCTAAAATAGGATGTTTAATTTATTTTTTAACATTTAAATTTAAAGGTAAATTTTAGACATAGAAATACAAATCAAGTTATATTCCCACAAAAGAAAAATCAACAATCTCAATTATTAAAAATATTTTTTTAACATAACCAAATAGAAATACCTAAAATCATGTTGGCATCAAAAAGGGGAAGTCTAAGGCTACAATTTTCGTGAAAAAACTATGCCTAAATAACAAGTTTAAGAAGGTAAAAGATGAACATCAAGACAAGTGATTAGAAAAACGGCATCCCCGACCACCAATTTCATTGACTGATATTGTGAAAGTGGACATCAAAACTTGAAAAGTTAACTTCTTGAAGTAATACTATATTCATGATTCACATATACTACATCCGGTTGATAAAAATACACATGCTAAAATTACACAATTACTTTGGTCAGGTAAAACAGTGAGCACCTCGAGTCAGCTCTGGTAAATATAAAAAAACACATGTTACACAAAGGAAAACAACCATCATTCAAATGAAGTTGAGAAACTTCAGACCAGAATGTCATATGAATAGCTCAAGGGAACTGGAAACTCAGGTAATCTTGGTGCCCTGTGGGAGGGTACATGTACAGTGCAAGCAATGAAATGATGATGCATATGAGTGCAGACCAAAGAAAAACTATAGTTGGAATCTTTCCCCTTCTCCCCATCAAGCCCTTCGAAAAGGGATACAGATGAGAAAGCACCCAGAAACTGAAGAACACCCCTCCAAGCAGCTTACTCCACTGTGGGAAAGGACTGTACAGGGTCCTGAATACCGCGACCGCAATGGCGATCAAGTTGAGCAGTATGATTGTGATGGGAGGAATCATCAACACCGTCCACCTGAACTCGTACAGCTCTGCAAACTCGTCCTCCCCATCGTCCGGAGCTGCTGACTTCGACGTCAGCGTGAAGTTGATGTCCACCCCTGCAATGACCTTCAAGAGCCCTTGTATGACTGCTGCAGGGTGAGCACTGGTCCCACCTATCAGCCAAAACTGCTCGTTTCGCCACCAGTCGTGGAGAGTGATTCCGGACCATTTGATTTCTAGGATGGCCAGAAGGCATAGGGTGAGAGTTATGGCCAGCAGGAAGGCTAGAAACGTCACGTTGAGGGACTCCACGATGAACTTCCCAGAGAAGAGGGAGAGTGCTGGGAGAATGCAGTAGACTAGGAGAAAGATGGAGGTGAAGGGGTACATCCCAACATTGAAATAAGCCACCCGTTGTAGGAACTTCATCCTCGGGCTGGCAAACAGCGCATTGTTTCGAGAGAAGAAAATCTCGACAGAACCCGTGGCCCACCGGAGGACTTGGATGAGCCTATCTGTCAGGTTGATGGGAGCTGTCCCTCTGAAGGCGTCCCTTTTGGTGACGCAGTAGATTGATCTCCATCCCCTATTGTGCATCCGGTAACCCGTCACCACATCTTCAGTGATGGAGCCGTATATCCACCCCACTCTTCGCCCCCACTCCGTTTTCTCCTCATAATAGCAACTTATCACACTCACTGCTTCAGCAAGAGCTGAAGCATCTAATGGTTCGCGCTGCACGGCCAGAGATCCAGCTGGCCTTCCCGGGCAACCCTTCCCCCGCAGCTCGTGCAGCAGCCTACCACCAAACTCCGCCACGGCAATTGAGTCAACGAGAGCAACTGAGTTACCAAACTGCTTTGGAAGCAAAGCTCTTGCCATGTCTTCTTCTTCGTCGTTGTGAGCTCCAATGGTTGGCAGAGCCATTTCCTCGTCGTCTTCTTGACCATTTGGAGTAGCCTTTTGTTTCCTCAGAACCTTCCTCGTCTTTCTCCTACCACACCATCCGTTATGCTCAGTAGCTCGAGGAGGGCTGAATCCGTACAGAGCAATTCTTCGAAAGACACACCCCGTGCCAACATACATTGGCCCTTGTAGCCCATCAAGTGCTCTCATGCTCACGTCGAAGAAAACCGTGTTATGGTTTGCGTACCGGTCGTTTGGATCGATACCCTCAAACCGCTGAGGAAATTGAACATAGCAGATACGGTCTCCTCCTTTGTCAAGCATGAAGCACATTCCCTCTCTCAAAGCTAGTGAGTTGTATATGTAATGATCACAGTCAAGGTTAAGAATAAATGCACCATTGGACATAATTGCACTCGCACGGACCAATGCATTCATTGCTCCAGCTTTCTTGTTGTGATCATAGCCAGGCCTCTTTTCCCGGGATACATAAACAAGCATTGGCAATCTTATATCAACATCTGTTGTGTCAATAATGTTCTTTTCGTCAACGTCATTGCCAAAAAGTGGCTCCATGTTTGCTGGAACCAACATAATCTGTGAATCCCACAAATACAAAAACCAGATAGGATCAAATTAACGGAAACTTCAGAAGTGAAAAAAAAAACTACCATTACAGATACACATTCCATCATATACGACTAGAGTATCTGACAGAAACTCCAGAAGTGAAAAAAAAACCTCCCTTTACAAGTGCACATTATATGCAATGTTGTTCTAATGGAAAAAAAACCATCCCAAAAAGTGAAATATGTACAACTTAGTTAAAAAGTAAAGATACAACGGATGATTTTCAGAAGGTTCTACTTCAAAAAGTGTAATTTGGTTAAAAAGACTCTTTTTATGGGAGATGAACAACAAACAAAAGAAGATTACCTGTATAATTCCCTCGTGATCACCTCTCGAGTGGCCTTCCTCTCCAGATGACCAAGTTCCATGCCAATGAGTTCCATCAGACATCCAAGTAGCCTTTGGAACTCTGATGGGTTCAGACAAACTTTCGCCAAGTTCAAACTGTTTCTTCTTGGCCCTCAGCTCCTGTTGGGCATTGTAAGCATCCGATCTTCTCCTAATTGATTCAGGCAAGCCATTTATCCTAACCTTAAATTCATCATATTCTCTCTTTACCCTTCTTCTGTCCCTTACAAAGTCCACCCTCACTTTGTTCTTAAGCGGATCGCGCTTTTGGCCAAAATAGGCCTCAGGATTCCGAGGTTCTATTCGGTGCTTCTTACAAAAAGGAACCCACACTCTTGCAAAGCTTGCGGCTTCTGCAAGAGCTTCAAATGTCACCAGAGACCCTCCATCATCTGAGAGATAGCATGCTACCTTCTCCACAGGATAATCAACGGCAAGGATGGAAAGAATTGTGTTTGCAGTGACAAGAGGTGGTTCTTTCTCTGCATCTGCAGTAGAAACAAATATGTCTATGCCCGGTAGGTCAGAAAACCCTTTAGGGTTCCTAAGGTTTGGGCCTGACCCTTCGAAGCGTTCTTTCAAAACAGAGAGGTCAGTTACACGTTTAACAGGGCAAAGCTTGGGCAGCTGATCAAGGACCCAAGAAAGCGCAAACCATATCTCACAAACAACTGATATCAGCCACAGCCACTTGGCCTCACGATTGGGATAACAGATCCTCCATGTCAGGAAGCACACGAGAGCACCAAGACGAAGAACCATAAGCAACCTAATGTCAAAATGAACAAAATCAGTCCTTTTACTTCTGTCCTAAGCAATGTAATGACTAGGACACATATTCACAAAATTACATACTTTGGTGGTTTCTTGATATGCCATGTAAATATGTGAATCAAGTTATTAACATTCTAACATAATATGAATCATTCTCTGCTTTTGACCTCAAGATTGCATAACTAAGTAATTTAACATAACGATGTCCATGACAAACTAGAAACAAACATAAAAAAATTTGCATTCATCAAAGAAAGAAAATATGAAACTAATTACTCTAGTTGAGTATGGAAAGAAAAAGAATTCATAAATTGAATACCTGTAAGGACTGATAATGGCTGCAGAAATCCCAACCTTCCTGGTCAAGGGTTTGTTCCTTCTGTCGCTGAAATCAGGAGGGTTTGTTGATCTGTCAATTCCCCTTCCAAATTCACACCCATCACTTGGCCACAAGGCATTCCCATAGCCATATGTCCCTTTGGTCTCAAACAGCCATCGGTTGTGATCAAAATCCGGATTTGTGTTCTTGAAAGACTGCACCATGGAGAAGTTTTTCTCCCGTCTGCTTTCACCTCTCCTTGCAGGCAGAGAGTTTGCCAAATCTCGGGCTTCAGAATGAGGCTCGTCACTTTCTTCACCATCACTTACGCCCTTGTAGAGCTCTTTACACCCAGGACAAGACCCAAAACCATTTCCAACACAATCCAAGTAGCAATCCCGGCAAACTCTGAACCCACATTCACAAGGAGCTTCAGGGGCCTTCTCGTCACATCCTGCCAGTTGACACACCGTTTCTGGCTTCATCTCCAGAGACTTCCCCTGCATACTTCTCCTCACATGTGCCCGAGTCACAGTACTCGAACCCCCTGTATAAATCGTATCTTTGATGTAACCCTCAGTAGGGTTTCCACAGCTCTTGCCGACATCGAGAGAGCTGTTAAGGGAATCAACCAGGTTCCTGTTGTCCGGAGTCGGAGGAATTTGAACAGTGTAAGCTAAGAATTCCTCCGAGCTCTCTTTACACACTGAAACGTATCTTCCTCCACTGCAGGAAGCTGTGCGATTTCCGCCCCCGCTCGAGGAACCCCTCAGCCCACCTCCTTTAGCGCTGAGCGGCGAATTAGGGTTCGTATTAGACAAGGAGAAGCGCCGGACCGGACTTGTCAGGCTGTGGCAGCCACCTCCGGAGGTGGAAATGGTGATTGTCACCGGAGATGAAGACGAGGAGTCAGCCGCCATTTTCACCATTATTATTACTCTGCGGGAGAAACTGAGCCAGAATTTAGCTAATCGCTAAAGAAAGAAGAGAAATAAAGAAATTGTGAAGGGGATAGTGTCTTGGTGTTGAAGAAGAGGGGACTTCCTTAAATTTGAAACCCTAAGTCGGGCTGTCAATTGCTAGGACGTAACGGTCGATTAATATCCACCGTCCAGGCGAATAAGATCCTACGGTTGTTAATCACTTAGCTCGTCGGGTACCAGTGCACCATCAAGACGTGAGTCAAAAGAGCAAAGAAAGATCCACTTTGTATTCCAACGGTCCGATTATTAAAGTCCGCCATGATACGGAGATTATTCCATTGTTCTGATTTCCGATTGCAATGAGGGAAAAAAAACTAAACTTGAAGGTCGTTTAAGATTGTGTTTCGAAATATACTTAAATTATAAGTTTTGATTTTAATTTCATAAGATATCATTTTGAATGTTGATTGTGTGCTTTAGCTTATGGATTAGAGAGATGCTAGAGTCATGAATACAAATATTTTCTTTTTTTAAATGAAAATGCGGTACTATTATTAAAATAAAAAAGTTTTAAAATACATAAACTTGTTAATTATGAATTTCAATAACAAAATAAAATGATTTAATTAATTAAAACGTAAAAATTTATATGCACAAATGACAAATTCTGTATACTTGTGACTATTGTGTTTGTAACTCTAGTATTTATCTGGAGATTATAATTTCTGAATACAAATAGTATTCTAGAATAATCTAGAATTGTTTTTAAGGTCATCTTCTCTTGAACTTATTCTTACTACTTTTTTTTATTGGAATAAAAAATTTATTGCTTTTAAGTTCATCTTCTCAGAACTTATTCCAATCCGATCAGGTGAAGAAAAACATGGCCTAAATACTCCTAATAGTATATACTTTATGACTTCTCTTTTTCTATTAAGTTATTACACACCCAAATTAAACTTTCTTAATCGAATAAATCAACTTCACACATAGATAATAATCATAATATGTAGTGTTATAGTTTTAGTGTGTGGTATATATAGCCTCATTTTATTATGAATTTGATCTTTGGTATGCACTAAATACTTTTGATATTAGAACTATTATCTAATAGTTTTAGAGACTTAAGGTTGTCCTTTTTCATCTTATAATTTTACTAAATATATAAAATTTCAAATTAGAAGGTTAGAATGTGTAATTTAGTGACTGATATTTGAGGATAAGGGCACTGATGGATATGGGATATATGTATAAATTATGTATATGTATGTGTGTGTGTATATATATATATACACACACACACAGATATATATATATATATATATATATATATATATATAAATATATATATATATATATATATATATATATATATGATCGACTCGAGTCAAATGTCACCTTATGGTAAGATGACATGCTTCCGTGAGATGACGACAAGCTCACCACATTACACTGCAAAACTAACCAATGGCTAATGTAAAGCTCACCTTAAAATAAAGTAAAGTTGTAGGGTACTACGCTTGGATAGGGCAACGGAAAACAAAAATTTTAATGTCCAAACGTAGATTCACACAAGACCTCTTATGATCATTATAAGTTATTGTTAGAGATTGTACCTTTCTTGGCGAGCAAACAATGATATGTGTTGGCTGGAGGGATTGGTCTAAGAGCTAGCCACAAAAGTATATGACCTCTAGTTGAGACACGCGAACTATGAAGAGTGTTCTAGAGAAAATTATGCTAGTAATTTTTACTAGAATATTTCTAAAATATAAAATATTTGGTGTAAAGTATTTTAAGAGAACAAAACAAATTTTTTTCTCTTAAAGCATACAGAGGGCCGAAATGTAGTGATTGAAAAAGGGTGGGATGATCTCCTGTTTATAAGAAGCATAATCATCATTCCTGTTACTAATGCAAATGTTCCTTTTAATATTTAGGAAAGAAATCAAACCTCATTCCTATTTTACTTATGTAATCTTGAAATACTCACTTTATGGAACCTTCCAATTTATTTTGTCAACATTAATAATATAACATTTATTTTATATACATACATACATACATACATACACACACACACAGATATATATATATATATATATATATATATATATATATATATATATATATATATATATATATGTCGCCGGAAAACTTTTTCGGGCAACCAAATATGAAGGCCTGCCGCCTTTTCTCGGAGGTGGTAGGTTCAGGCCTCGACCAACCTCTGCAAGCTAAGAGTCTTGGCCTTTACAAAGGAATTCCTACAGTTTCTTTTCCCAAGGAGGATATTCTTCTTCTCGGCAACCGCTTCAAGTTGGGGGTCATTGGGAGCTTATAGCGCAGGCCTCCTTTTCCGACGATGGAAGCATTCCTAAACAGGCTCGGTCTCATAGGCAAGTTCTCCTTATCCATTCTCTCCACTAGGAAATTCTTGATCAACTTTGATGCTAAGGAAGACTACCTTCGCGTCCTATGTCGTAAGACATGGGATATACATGGCCGGTTGATGAGAGTCACTAAATGGAGCCCTGGCCTTTCGCCGGAGATTGACAATCCTATTGTTCCGGTGTGGATTTCCATACCAGACCTGCCTATACATCTTCATGATATGAGGGCTCTCAAACTTATCCTCTCCCATCTTGGCAACCCCATTATGGTGGATCTCAACACCAAAAATTTCTCTCGTCCTACTCTTGCCAGGGTCTGTGTGAAGATGGATGTCTCTAACCTTCCGGTTCCTAAGGTCCTTATCATTCATGGTCAAGAGGAATTGATCTTCCCAATCTTTTTTGAAAATCAACCGGAATATTGCAAGAAGTGCCGGAAACTGGGGCACAACGCCAGCAAGTGTGGTGGGGTCAAGGTTGTACTCGCTACTTTGAGCTCTGAAACGAGACATGGGGAAGGGGACAACTCTGTCCAGCTGGTGAACAAAGGCCAGAGAGAAGGGAAAGAGCACGTGAAGGAGGATTCCTGGCATATAGTCCACTCCAAAAAAGAAATATCCAAGAAAGGCAGTCACTGGCGCGTGAAAAACCCTAATGTCATGCAGGAACATGAACAAACTTCTAATTGGAAAGGTGGCCCAGGTGAATCATCTCTCTCTGCTGGGACTCACTCCCACGTGGTTATGGATGGTATCAACCTAAATGACAATCCCAAGGTGGTTTTCAAAGGCTCCACTTACGCCATTAACGATCCAAACTTCCTTAGCACGAATACCATGCGTCACCTTTTCCAGTACACCACACCCTCACCTATCCTGGAGAAAGTCCCACTTAATGAAGAGATTTCCCTGGTGCCTTACATGGGCTTTCGTGATGATCATGGGCTCTCCCTCGCTCAGCATGACATTGGTGGTGATACGTGCATGTTCTCTGATGGTGATAGTGCTGATAGTGACCTCGAAGAGATTGACATGCAGGTCCTCTCACCTCTTCCTAAGGGAATGGATGCTATCCTGGATACTCCCTTCCCCAAGTCCACTTCCAAGGTCATACACATGCCATGGTAACCAGAAAAACGTCCTCCAATAAATTTTCTCCCCTAATGTCTCCATGAATGGTCTCTTTTGGAATATTCGTTGTATTTTCTCTTCTCTTCCTAGGCTGCTTTCTCTCCAAAAAGATAATAAACTTCAGCTTCTTTCGTTTATGGAGCCTCTTCACAACACTTCCCTCATATTTGTATGTGCTACTTCTCTTGGCTATTCCAAATGTTTCAGTTCTCTCAATAATAAACTTTGGTTCTTTTGGGATGAGTCAATCCTTAGCTTGTTCTACAGGCTCTTAAGGAAGAGCCTCAAATCACATCGTGTCTTTTCCTTCATGTGCCTACTCAAAAACAAATTTGGATCTCCTCAGTTTATGGGAAACACACTAGAGCGAATAGACTTGACCTCTGGGAATCTCTTAGAGCCCACAAAACCTCTGTTACCGCTTGGCTTGTGGGAGGGGACTTCAATGCAATCACCTCCTATGAAAAACACAAAGGTAAAAGTACTCTTTGCCACATGAGCATGGATGACTTCATCGAAGCACTGGATTTTTGTGAACTTTCCTCTCCTCAAGTTTCTGGGGGAGCATTCACTTGGTTTGGTAATAGATCAAGAGGTAGAGTTTTCAAAAGACTTGATAGAGTTCTCAACAATGAGAAACTCTTTGATCTCTTCAGTGAAGTGTCTGTTAGGCATAAAGGAAGAGGCCTCTCAGACCATAAAGCTCTTTTGGTGCTTCTTAATAATCCTATGCCTTCTTGTCCCAAGCCTTTCAGGTTCCTAGATATTTGGACTTCTCACCCAGGCTTCAATCAGTTGATTTCAAAAAACTTGGATAAATCATAGAGAGGAGGGGGGATGAAGGAACTAGCTGGCTTCTGTCCACTAAGAAGATCTTGAAGAAGTAGAATGTGGAAACTTTTGGAGACATATTCAAAGGTGTTAGAGAAGCAGAAACTAGAGCAATACTTGCTCAGGAAAAACTGGGACTTGATGACAGTGAAGAGGCTCTTTTAGAGGCCAACTTGTCCAATGCTCTCCTTACTCAAGCTTGTAAGAGAGAAGAGATTTTCTGGTCTCAAAAGGCTAACATCAAATGACTCAAGAATGGTGATGCTTCTACCAAATACTTTCATTCAGTGGTTAGGGCCAGCAGGCACTCCCTTAAGATCAACAATATCAAAAATATGCAAGGAATTAACCTTTCTTCTGAGATTGACATTTGATAAGTCCAATTTTTTGGTCTTATTTTATACCTTATATTTCAACGTTCTTGTACGTAAACAAAAATAAATCAAGAATTTCAAATAAATTTTTATGATAAAAAGTCATTTTACAAATTTGTTAATAAAAAGATTGTTAAAAATTAAATTTAGTTTTTCCAAGCATATCATGGCCAAATAGAAGAAAATATTTCAAATTGATGATCACAAGTGAAGAAAGAGATCAAATCAGGCTTTGGAGCAAAAAGAATGGATCAAAATGTCAAAATTACCAAAATTGGGCCGAAGTTGATCCCAGGCGTCTGAGGGGCGTGCGCCCCAACCTCAGGCGCACGCCTGTGGGGGTGACGATTTGAAGCGGCGCAAGATCGGATTTTCGGCGGAGAATCCAATCAAACAGAAGCCCAGGCGCCTGACAGGCGTGCGCCTCAGCCTCAGGCGCGCGCCTGGGCTTCTGGAAGGCTATAAAAGCAGCGCTTCCCCTGCCATTCCAACCATCTCATTCTACAAATCTTCCTCTCCTTCTCTCTCTAGTTACGAAATTACTTTAAAAAATTTTAGTTTTTATTCATTTTGGGAGTTTCAAGTCCAGAATTGCTCAATTCCGCTTTTTCTGGAAGTTGTAAGTTTTCTGTAATATATATAAAAATGTTATGTTATTTAATTTATGTGCATTTAATTGTTATCATGTTTGCTTAAATATTTTAGGAATGTGAATTGAAATAGGGTAGTAGGTATGTAGGATAAATTTAATTAAGTTGGAATATTAAATTTAATTAATTAAAATGTTAAGTTGCTAGTAATTGTTGTAATGTTATAATTAATTTATCTGGCCAATTTATTAATTAATTATTGAAAAATTATAATATCCATTTGTCTATGAATGTGAAAAATAATTTAGTCAACCAATACTAGCACATTAATGAAACTTAGAGATAAGATATAATTAATGGAGTAGTTGTGACAGAACTCTCACTAGACAATTAATTAATTATTTTAGTATTCCAACTAGTTAAGATATCTGAAAATTGCCTACTACCTGAAATCAATTCATATTCCTCTTTATCAATTCAATCAAGTTACCATTCTGTTCAATCAACCTAAATTTTCGAAATTAGAAAACTTCGAATACCAATCATTATGCCTTGCCTAACTAATTTTTAATAGAAAATTTATTTACATGCCAATCCTTGTGAATACGACACGGGAATAAATTGAACTCTTTTAGAGGGAAATTTACTACCACTAAAACTCAATCTTCAAATGGCGCCGTTGCCGGGGATTGGCGCGTAATTTTTTTTTTAAAAAAAATTATTTAGTTAGCCTGGAAGAAAATTGGTTAGGTCGATTTTCTAGCATCTTTTCATTATTTGGCAAACTACATGCAAACCCGCTCTACTAGTGGGGGTAGTTTTGCTCCGTACACTGATAATCCTGAAGGAATTCTCCGCCAACCTAAAAATTCACCTGGTGAGAATTCTGAAGAAGAAGAACAAGAAGTCGAACAACTTGTTATTCAAATGGAGGAGGTCAATAACAACAGAATGAGGCGGACGGTGCTCCAAGCAATGAGCCCCGCGTATACTGAGGAAGATCCAATTGTACTCCCCAATATTGATGCCCACACGTTCGAGATCAAACCCGCAATGATCCAAATGGTCTCGAACAATCAATTTGGGGGTCTTAAAAATGAAGATCCAAGAGCGCATATGTTATGGTTCTCTCGAACTTGCCAAACATTCCGGACGAATGGAGTGTCTGCTGATCGTGTTAAACTATCACTGTTTCCCTTCTCACTACGAGATAGGGCAGCACGATGGTTGAATACGTTCTCGAAAGGACATTTCACCACATGGGAGGCGCTTCATCAAGCCTTCATGCACGAATACTTCCCACCATCTGCCATTGCAAAAATTAAAAGATCTATTCAGAGTTTTTCTCAAAATTCGACTGAATCTTTAAGTGAAGCATGGGAAAGATTCAAGGATCTGAATATCAAATGTCCACCTGCTCTAATTGATCCAGACAGCCTAATGTTCCATTTCTACCAAGGACTTCTGGTTTCATCGAAGAAAGAACTAGACCACTCTTCAAAGGTCGGTTCTTTCCTAGATATGACGCCGGAGGAAAATGAGGAATTGGTGGAAAAACTCACATCAAATGCCAAATACTGGTACGAAGACCGAGTTCCACAACAAAAAGCTGGAATGTATGAGGTGGACACTTTCACCGCACTCAAGGCAAGTATGGAAAGTCTCATCAAGCGGACCATCCAAGATCAGTTCAGTGCAAGTTCGCATCCAAACAAACAACATGAATCAATTGCTCAGGCCGATGCTTACTATCAAGGAGGATCTAGTTCACACCAAAATGAACTGGTCCTGTCTTGTGAATCTTGTACAGGTGCACACCTGACATCTCAGTGCCCGTACAATGAAAGCACAACAAAGGAACGGCCGCGTGAAGTACACTTGGCACAATATGCCAATAAAGGGGAAGGACCATGGGCCCCTAATCAGTACCAGCCAGCTTATCAGCGCGATGATCCTTCGAGGGAGCGCAACAATAACAATTTCCAGCGAAATAATCGTTCAAGGGACGATTACAAACAAGGCGGCTGGAACAACAACATCAATTGGAATAGTCAAAGAGGGTCTGGCTATAACCAAGGGGGAAATACTCAAGTGTATGTTCCCCCACACCAAAGACAAGCTGAGGATCCTATGGCCGAAATGAAGAGGATGATGGAGGAGCAAAATAAAAAGAGTGAAGAAAGAATTCAAAGGATAGAGGAATCTATGAGACAAATAATGGATAAGATGACAATCAGACCTCCTAGAACTCTCCCTGCCAAAACTGAAACCAATCCACGCGAACATCTTAACGCTGTTACTCTACGCAGTGGAAAGGAAGTTCAAGGCGTTGGTCAAAGTACTGAACCAACATTGGAGGATGAGTCTGAGGTTGAACTAATTAGTCAACCAACTGAAGAAAAGAAGAAGGAACCAGAAAATAAAGAAGAAAGGAAGGATAAGGAACCTTCCCAGTCCCAACATCCAAACAGCAATCTCCTACCAAAGAAGGTGACCGTACCCTTTCCATCAAGGGTAAAGAAGAAGAATGATGATCAAGCTTTCAAGAAGTTTCTAGACATCATGGGCCAAGTGGAAGTCAAGTTGCCCTTGATTGATGTCTTAACTGAGATGCCGAAGTATGCCAAGTTCATCAAAGATTTGGTTATGCATAAAAAGGACTGGGAAGGGGTTTCAATGATCAATCTGAATGCGAGCTGCTCCGCGTTGCTACTCCAACAATTACCTGAAAAGTGCAAGGATCCAGGTAAATTTTCTATCCCCTGCTCAATTAAAGACATGCACTTTCAACATGCGCTAGCAGACTTAGGCGCGAGCATTAATTTGATGCCCACATCAATCATGAAACACTTAGGAATTACTGAACTTAAACCTTCACGGATGTGTGTTCAACTAGCGGATAGTTCTGTCCGTTACCCTCGGGGAATAGTTGAGGACATACACGTAAAGGTTGATAAGTTCACATTCCCAGCTGATTTCGTGATTCTTGATATGGAAGAGGATTCAGAAATGCCTCTAATTTTGGGTCGGCCATTTTTAGCAACTGCTAAGGCCCTAATTAATGTTCACGAAGGGGAAATGACTTTAAAAGTTGGAGAGGGTGAGTGTACCTTCAAACTGACGGACCTGATGCACAATTCTCCAGACCCTACCAAATTTTGTCATTCTGTCAAAATATTGAAGGACAAAGGGTCTGTCGAGACGCTTCTTGGTCTAGAGGCAGTATTGAAGGAGGAAGAGAATGAAGGGATTAAGTGTGAGGATGTTCGGGAAGTGGAAACAAAGGGATCTGATACCCTAGAACTGAAGCCACTTCCCATCTAGAATATGCATTTCTGGATGACGAGGGCAAATGCCCGGTTGTCATCGCATCTGAATTGACTGTGGATCAAAAGGCCGAACTATTGACCGTTCTTCGACGGCACAAGCAAGCAATTGCTTGGAAGTTGGAGGATATTCAAGGAATCAGCCCGGCCTTTTGCACCCACAAAATTGCAATTGAAGAAGGGTTCAAGCATGTTGTTCAACCACAACGGAGGCTTAATCCAAAATTGATGGAGGTAGTACAAAAGGAAATCCTCCGATTATTAGACGCAGGTATTATATACCCAATCTCTGATAGTCGGTGGGTTAGTCCTATTCATGTTGTCCCGAAGAAGGGAGGAATGACTGTTGTGAAAAATGAGAAGGGTGACTTAGTACCTAGTCGAACGGTCACCGGGTGGAGAATGGTGATAGATTACAGAAAGTTAAATGATGCCACCCGGAAGGATCACTTTCCCCTTCCCTTCATTGACCAATTAATTGAGAGACTGGCAGGGCATGCCTATTATTGTTTCCTCGATGGAATGAGTGGTTACTTTCAAATACATGTTAATCTCGAGGACCAAGAAAATACCACCTTCACATGCCCATTTGGAACTTTCGCTTTTCGGCGGATGTCCTTTGGTTTGTGTAATGCACCTGCATGCCACCTTCATGAGATGCATGATTGCTATCTTTGAGAAATTCATAGGCGATTTCATGGAGGTTTTCATGGATGATTTCTCCATCATTGGGGAATCATTTGAAAACTTAGAGAAAGTGCTAAAGAGGTGCGAGGAGACCCACCTGGCTTTGAGTTGGGAAAAATGCCATTTCTTAGTCAAGGAAGGGATCGTACTAGGGCATAAGGTCTCTAGCAAGGGCGTTGAAGTTGACAGGGCTAAAGTTGAGACCATCGAGAAACTTCCTCCACCAACTTCTGTTAAAGCCATCCGTAGCTTTCTTGGCCACGCTGGTTTTTATCGGAGGTTTATAAGGGATTTTTCGAAAATCGCTAAGCCGTTAACTCGCCTGCTAGAAAAGGGGATCGAATTTGTTTTTGATGATGAATGCCTAAAAGCCTTTAACACTTTGAAGGAGAAGTTAATCACTGCACCAGTCCTTGTGGCTCCCGATTGGACTAAACCATTTGAACTTATGTGCGATGCTAGTGATGAAGTAGTTGGGGCTATTCTTGGCCAACGAGAGAGTAAAAACTTTCATCCGATCTACTATGCTAGCAAAACATTGTTGGGACCACAACTGAACTACACAACCACTGAAAAAGAATTCTTGGCCATCGTTTATGCTTTAGAAAAGTTTAGGCCTTACATCATTCTTTCAGAAGTAATTGTCTATACCGATCATTCGGCATTAAGATACCTACTTCAGAAGAATGATGCGAAGCCTAGGCTGTTACGCTGGGTGCTGCTTTTGCAGGAATTCAATGTACAGGTTAAGGACCGGAAAGGGTCTGCAAATCAAGCTGCTGACCACCTCTCCCGTCTCGATACGGAGGTGGCTAATCAATTTGGGGAATGCAAAGTGGATGAGACATTCCCGTTTGAGAGAATACTGAAAATCAATGAAAAGGAACCATGGTATGCCGATATTGCCAACTACCTAGCTAACAAAATCGAGCCTACCATGCTTTCTTTTCACCTCAAGAAAAAACTCAAACGGGAAGCTCACCACTACTTCTGGGAAGACCCATACCTATTTCGAATCTGTGCAGACCGAGTGGTGAGAAGGTGCGTGAGTGAAGAAGAAGGAGAAGAAATACTCAAACACTGTCATTCTGGGCCAGTTGGTGGCCATTTCTCTGGGACAAGAACTGCACGAAAGGTGTTGGACAGTGGGTTCTTTTGGCCCACCATCTTTCGAGACGCCCAAATATTTGTAACCAGATGTGAGGAATGCCAACGAACGGGTAACATCACTCGTCGAGATGAAATGCCGCAAGATTACATACTTCCTTGTGAGATATTTGATGTCTGGGGTATTGATTTTGTTGGACCATTCCCGAGTTCATATGGAAATAAATACATTCTGGTGGCTGTTGAATACGTCTCGAAGTGGGCCGAAGCCCAAGCTTGTCAGAAAGATGATGCGCGCACGGTGGTGCGTTTCTTGAAAAAGTTGTTTGCGAGGTTTGGAGTACCTCGAGTGTTGATCAGTGATAGAGGGACACATTTCCGGAATGATCCCTTGGCCAGAACTTTGCAAAGATACGGAGTCCAACACAGAGGGGGTGTTGCTTACCACCCCCAGACTCAATGCCAAGTGGAAAACACAAACAGAGATCTGAAGGCGATTCTGGAAAACACTGTTGCTAAAACACGGAAGGACTGGAGTTTGAAGCTTGATGATGCCTTATGGGCCTTCCGAACTGCTTATAAAACTCCCATCGGAACTACTCTTTCCATCTCGTTTATGGGAAATCTTGTCATCTGCCCGTCGAGATTGAACACAAAGTGCTTTGGGCACTCAAAAATGTGTGTCTAGATTCATCAACAGCAGGAAGGGACAGATTCTACCAACTGGACGAGTTAGATGAGTGGAGAACGCTGGCTTTCCACAATAATCTGCTATACAAAGAGCGTGTCAAGAAATATCATGATGCGCATATTAAAAAGTCCAAGGAGTTCCATGAAGGAGACCAAGTACTTCTGTACAATTCCCAGTTGAGGTTGTTTCCCAGGAAACTGAAGTCTCGTTGGTCTGGTCCATTTGAAGTTGTGAAGGTGTATCCGTATGGAACGGTAGAAATTCGAGGGAAGAATGGTGAATTTAAGGTCAATGGTCACCGCCTGAAGAAATTTGAAGGAGGAGATGTGTTTCAAGAGAAAAATGTAATGTACCTCCAAACCTTGGAGGCATGAAGAAAGAGAAAAGCGTCTAGCTAACGACGTTAAAGAAGCGCTGAACGGGAGGCAACCCGTCATCATCATCATCATCAAAAAAAGAGCTTTTTGTATTTATGTGTTAAAATTGATATCTGTACCATGTACAGAATGAATGTCTAAGCTGGAATGGTACTTAAGTGGACACAAAGGGTGACGCCTTCGCGAGCCGAACTTATCCCACCATTCCTACTGGGTCATTCTGTGGAAAGGTTTATTCGGGTGAGCCTAAGAGCACCTAATTGGCAGCATTCTGCCCGATCCCGAATACACTGAATTGGTTCAGTTACCATTTTTAATATGTATATACTTAAAAAAAGGGAGAGTTGAGTGCTTACTTGTCGTACCAAATTTGGGGGCAAGTTTAACCATTGTTTAATTTTTGTAGATGGCAGGAGCACCGATCGATCCATTCAGGAGGGCACGTGATCTTCAGTTGCCACTTCTTACTCCGGAGGCACAGGAGCGATTCACTACGTGGGCCCAGCACCGATCTTTACAGGCCCTAGTTATTCTTGATCAGAGACCCCTTGTTGCAGCCGGGGTTTGGGCATATGTTGAGGCCTCGATTAGGCCATCTGGTTGGGAGCGTTTACTTTCCTTACGAGCTGAGGCTAGCTTGCCTCTCACTATTGAGTTTCTGTGCTCATTGCGGCCTTTACTGGGGTTTGAGCGGCGAGATGATGTAGGGATAGCTATGAGGCATGACAGCCGCCTCATTTTCACTCTTCTAGGTCAGCGACATACTCTTACTGTCGCTGAGCTTGGGTGGAGATTAGGCATATATACTCAGGAGGAGATCTCACATTCATCCTTTGCTGACCTTCCCATTACTGTTCCTGAGGACTTTGACGTCCAGGCTTTTTGGACTGCACATGCACGCACTGATGCTCCTTTCGAGCATCAGCTTAGTCGAGCTTCTGACTGGGCCGAGCCTTCCTGGAGGCTTCTCACATTCCTGATGTCCATGAGCTACTTTGGGAGACCCAGTAACAGCAACCGGGTCTATTCTTCTGACATGCTCTTCTTCTGGAGCATAGCACATCAGCGACAGGTTAATTTGGCTGTTTTCATCGCCCGATTCTTGTGGTCTCAGACATATGGTACACGTATCACGGTGGTTTGCGGCCCGTTGATCACACTTCTTCACAGGTCCTTATAGGAGCACATGCCTATACCTGACCTCTTACCTCTTGAGCATAGTGTTCGACTTTTGGACAGCACCATGATACAACACATTAGACTTCAGAGAAGTCAGATACGGAGGATTAGACCGAGAGAGGGGCCATCACCTCGACCTCATCCTGCACCACAGCCACAGAGTACATTTCAGCAGGGACAGAGCTCTACTGGGGTGGAGAACCTTCAGATACCCCTATGGGCACAGACATTGAGTACTCAGATGCAGAGTCTTCAGTACAACATGAGTGGGTTTCATGGTAGATTGGAAGAGTTACACACAAGGTTCACCGAATTTGAGCAGCGTTACGAGGCAGATATGACCAGGCTTATCGACCAGCAGGAGGCTCAGTGGACTAACTACTACAATATCGGTACTCCTGTTCAGACGCCAGTTCAGCACCCTTCGACTGGTCATACTTTGACTCCTGATGCATCAGATGCCGCACCCACGCACCCAAACCCACCCCGATTCTGATCTTCTAATTACTTTTTCAGACTTTTACTTGCTTTTTCTTGTGATTTGACCAGGTTGCTTGGATGCTAGATTTTGTTTTGAACAATCATTTTATGCACGAATTTGTGGAGACAATCATGGGGAAGTTTACTGTGCGATATGCCCTTTTCCCCAAAAATATTTTTTTTCCTTGATTTATTACTGTTTCAATCTTCAATTTGAATGCTTTAAGTATTAGAATAATTTAATTTGTGCATTTGAGTTTTTCCACCATAACTCTAGTTTCTTATCACTTTTAAACCCGCGAGGGCGCGGTTCCGCTTAAGAGTGAGGAGGATAGAGTTATGGTTGAAATACTCTAAAGAAAGTTTTTACATCTTTATATTTTTAGGAAAATTATATATACAGTCATCAGCTTTAATTTTCTAAAATATTTTTACCCAAAAAAAAATTAATTTTTTCTGTCAAACTTAGATTTTTGTTTAAATTTTTGAAGATCTTTGGTATGAATGGATGAATTTAAGTCTAAATTAGTAGATTTATTATCATGTTCTCTAATGTTTGAATTAACATATTTTCTATAAAGATATTTTGTAAGGTCAAATAATTTTTAATTATTTTATTAAAAATCTTTTTAGATACTGCTCCGCTATTTCTAAATATGAGCATTTATTGTTTATTTAAAAGTTCTATTTAAATAAAACACACTTTGGTGAGACCGAATTCTCGAGTGAAAATTTGAAATCAAAAAGCATCTGGTTCTATATCAGATGATGAGATTTAATTATTTTGGGAGAATGCCAAAAAGCACGCAACTCTATGTTGCGTGATGAGGTTTTTGAGAGAAAATAATATCCAAAAAGCTCGTGGTTCTATGTCACGGGATGAGGATGTAAATTCTTTGTTTTCGTGTCAACATGACAAAGTGATGTTATTCAAAAAAATATAATCATGAAAGTAACTTTTTCAAGAAACAATTTTGTAATTTAATCGTTAAAGATTCTTTGACCTTATAATAATTTTAGTATGGAAAAGTTGTTATTTTTAATTTAGAGAACATTGATTTTAGTCTTATTAATATTCTTCAATTTTAATCTTTGAAACCTAGATTAATTTAATTTGAACAAAATTTTGAGTTTGACAAAAGAATTTATTTTCTTTCAAAATGAGTAAAAATTCTTTTTAGTAAATTAGGTTGATGACTGTCTAATATTTTGTTCCTATAAATAGATTGTGTAAAATACTTTCTGTGCATATATTTAGTTGTTCAAATTCTTTTAATTATTCAATTTGTTGCTTGAGGGCAAGAAACGTTTAAGTGTGAGGAATTTGATAAGTCCAATTTTTTGGTCTTATTTTATACCTTATATTTCAACGTTCTTGTACGTAAACAAAAATAAATCAAGAATTTCAAATAAATTTTTATGATAAAAAGTCATTTTACAAATTTGTTAATAAAAAGATTGTTAAAAATTAAATTTAGTTTTTCCAAGCATATCATGGCCAAATAGAAGAAAATATTTCAAATTGATGATCACAAGTGAAGAAAGAGATCAAATCAGGCTTTGGAGCAAAAAGAGTCTGAGGGGCGTGCGCCCCAGCCTCAGGCGCACGCCTGTGGGGGTGACGATTTGAAGCGGCGCAAGATCGGATTTTCGGCGGAGAATCCAATCAAACAGAAGCCCAGGCGCCTGACAGGCGTGCGCCTAAGCCTTAGGCGCGCGCCTGGGCTTCTGGAAGGCTATAAAAGCAGCGCTTCCCCTGCCATTCCAACCATCTCATTCTACAAATCTTCCTCTGCTTCTCTCTCTAGTTACGAAATTACTTTAAAAAATTTTAGTTTTTATTCATTTTGGGAGTTTCAAGTCCAGAATTGCTCAATTCCGCTTTTTCTGGAAGTTGTAAGTTTTCTGTAATATATATAAAAATGTTATGTTATTTAATTTGTGTGCATTTAATTGTTATCATGTCTGCTTAAATATTTTAGGAATGTGAATTGAAATAGGGTAGTAGTTATGTAGGATAAATTTAATTAAGTTGGAATATTAAATTTAATTAATTAATTATTGAAAAATTATTATATCCATTTGTCTATGAATGTGAAAAATAATTTAGTCAACCAATACTAGCACATTAATGAAACTTAAAGATAAGATATAATTAATGGAGTAGTTGTGACAGAACTCTCACTAGACAATTAATTAATTATTTTAGTATTCCAACTAGTTAAGATATCTGAAAATTTCCTACTACCTGAAATCAATTCATATTCCTCTTTATCAATTCAATCAAGTTACCATTCTGTTCAATCAACCTAAATTTTCGAAATTAGAAAACTTCCAATACCAATCATTATGCCTTGCCTAACTAATTTTTAATAGAAAATTTATTTACATGCTAATCCTTGTGAATACGACACAGGAATAAATTGAACTCTTTTAGAGGGAAATTTACTACCACTAAAACTCAATCTTCAACATCTCTAATGCAGCAGTTGATTATTTCAATGATATTTTCTAGTTTAGAGCAGTTGAACACTTGGAACAAGCTCTTGAACACATCCCTCCTACTATTGATAGAAATGATAACCTGTCTCTGTCCAAAATCCCTGATGAGGAAGAGACCAAATCTTCCATTTGGAAGTTGTCTGCATCTAGTGCAGCGGGTTCAGATGGCTTCAATGGAACATTTTTCAGACATTGCTGGAGTACCATACACCTTCATGTTACCAAAGTTGTCCAAGAATATTTCATTGGAGTCCCTCTCTCACAAACTTTTGGGAGTACCACCATCACACTTCTCCCTAAAAAGGACAACTGCACTAACTTTGGTGACTATAGGCCCATTTCTCTTTCAACCTTCTTCAGCAAGATCATCACCAGGATTTTGAGTGACAGACTCAAACCCTTACTCCAGAAAATCATTTCTGTGGAACAAGCAGTCTATCAAACAGGTAAGGGTATTGAAGAACATATTCTACTCACTAAGGAGATGGTTCACATGTTAGCTTCTGGACATAGAGGGAGTAACATCATTAAAAAGCTGGATCTTTGCAAAGCCTTTGATACAATTAGTTGGACTTATCTGGAAGTCATCCTCTCTCCATTTGGTTTCTCCCAACATACCATTCTTTTGCTGATGGGGGTCCTCAGAGGAACCTGGTTCTCCATTCTTATAAATAGACTTTCAAGGGATTTTTTCCAATGAAGCGTGGGGTGAAGCAAGTAGATCCCCTCTCTCCTTTTTTTTCATTATTGCCATGGAGGGTCTCAACAAAAGCATTAAATATCAAATGACTATGGGCTTCCTCAAGCCCTTCCACACATGTCTGGTTGCTGCTCCCTCTCATCTTTTGTATGCAGATGACTTGATTATTTTCACTAATGTAGAAAGTAGAAATCTTATCAAGGTTAAACATACTCTCTCATGGTCATTTTACATCATAAAATGCCTACTGACAGAAGATCTTGCATCTCCAATATTCTTGGTATTAAAACCTCCTTTGGCAGTTTTAAATACTTAGGATCTTACATCAGCAAAGGGTAGCTCAGAAAGAAGGACTGCACGACTGCACTGACTTGATGCTTCATTTTGAAAGAAAATTTTTTCCTTGGCACAATAATAATAAAATAATAAACAATTTATTATCTATACATATATCCGTATATATATATATATATGTGTGTGTGTGTGTGTGTGTGTGTGTGTACACACACACACAGATATATATATATATTTATATATATATATATATATATATATATATACACACAAAAATGGCATTCTTTTCTCTCTCTATAGCTCCTTTCCACCGGCGATGGCGTCTCTGACTCTTCAGCGATGTCGGATAACTTTCGTTCCTTCGCTGATGTTGGTTCCCCCCAACACCCGCCGGCGAAATTCAAGGGTTTACCCTCGATTTCATTCTCTGATGAGGAGATTCATAGATTATCAGGTAAGTTTCGCAGATCCCTTGTCGGTAGCTTCAACGAGAAAAGGCCTCCTCTTATTTTAATCCGTAAGACCCTTGAGAAAATTGGATTCTCAGATTTGTTTAAATTGGGATTACTTAATGATTCTCATGTTTTGCTGCAATTTGAATCTGAAACTGATTTTCTCCGTTGTTTATTGAGAAACCGATGGAATATTGGTTCCTCCTATATGCGAGTTTTCCGATGGACTGCAGATTTCGACCCCTCGGTGGAATCCCCTCTAGTCCCAGTTTGGGTAGGGCTAGAGGGACTGCCAATCCATCTCTTTGACAAACCCACCCTTTTCTCCATTGCTAAATTATTTGGCTCTCCACTGCAAACTGATGCAGCCACTGTGAATTTGAGTAGGCCTAATGTGGCCAGAGTCTGTGTGGAGGTTAACCTTTCAAAGGAACTTCCCAAGGCTATTTGGATACACTTAGGTAGCTCATCCTACCTTCAACCCCTTCTTTTTGAAAATCTGCCATCCTATTGTAACTCCTGCCATCAATTGGGTCACAAGTCCTGCAAATCAGGAACCAGAAACTCTCGCTGGGTTAGGAAAACCAAGCCAAGAGGCAAGGCTGTGGCCCCTGGCCAGCAGGTCTGTTTTCCTAGTAGCGCAGCTGTGCCAACCTCTACTACCCCCATTACTTTTGGTAGCTTTGAAACTGGTCACCAGTACGTCACAACAAAGGACATAGGGCCATGCCCTACAATGAGCAAGAATGGTCCTCCACCACGTTTGGACAGTACTGCTTTGGCCCCTATAACTGATGCCAACTTGACTTTAAATGGCCCTCCCCTTACAGGTTTGGACAGTACTCCTTTGTCCCTCCTAACAGATGCTAATTTGGATGCCTTCTACTTGGAATGTGCTCAACACCAAGATACCAAAGACAGCCCATTACTGACTGGTCCATGTGAGCTTGAATTCACGAAAGAAGGACCCTTCTACCCCGTTGAACAGAATTTGTCACCCCAGATCCTCCCCCAATCTCAAAATGATGGTTATGACCCAAATCATACCGATGAAAATATGAGAGCACACGAGACTCACCGTGAGTCCTCGGATGGCACTCCATCAGACACTACGGTCCCTCCCATTGGAAATGATGATGCTTTATCTGATCCATCTACCCACACCAAAGTTCATGCTGGAAAAGATGACGAGGCCGGTAAGGATGCTCTCTCCGAGGCAGAACCGGTTTCACCCCACACCCAGGAGGGGAATACTAACATTTCTTTTGAGCCTAGGTCTTTTTGCAGGTATATCAAGGTCACTGAACAACGAAGCAGCCCTTCGTTACAAGAATTCCAAAAATTGAGCTTCACGGAGCAAATTGCAGAACTGAAACGAGGGCACCAACAACTCAACTTCATGCAACCAAAAACTCCATTTCAATCAATACAAGGTATAGGTCCAAAACTTGACGATGCCAATCTTTTCGAAGTTGAAGTCCTTCAAGACCATGATGAAAATGAAACTCATGAAGAGAGCGATCCTGAAACTCCAACCATTGAAATCCGCCATAAAGGAGAACCTCCTGACGTGACGATCCAGACGCGCAGTGGTCGTGTTCCATATGCGGGGCGTGGCCAAAATACTCGCGGGAGGGGGCGTGGAAGACGCAAAAGACGTGGCAACCACAACCTATCCTAGTCCTCTTAAATTATCTTTTCACTTTCTATTGCTATCCACCTGTTTTGGATAGTATTGTTTCCTTTATGAGGGCTTTGGTCTAGTCCTCCCTCTTTTGTATCTCTCCCCCCCCCCTCTTTCCCATTAATAAACATCACTTTTATATATATATATATATATATATATATATATATATATAAAGAGAAGGGTTTTTATTCATGCAAAAGAGTCAAGTACAAGGGGAAAGAACTACCCAAAAGTGGTAGAAGAGAAGGAAAAAGGAAAGAGCAACGTATGGGACGCAGCCCAAATGCGGAGGAGACGTAGCCCCTAACAAGAAAGCGAAGTGAAATAGCCTTAGTTGCGACGTCGGCCTCGCCTGCCTCGTCCTCGGCCTCGTTGGGAGTATTGACCCCTACAATGGAGTTGTCCACTTCTTGTTTGAATCGTTAGTTCTGGAGGAGAGTTTTGTTTTTTGCTTTTGACCAGGGTGAAGTCCTCTTCATACTGATATTCTTCACAATCAAATTCTGGTTCTGTTTGGTTCCCTGTCTCCTCATTATCCTGGCTTGCGTCAAATGTGTCATTTGCAGCAAACTCTTGGGGTTCTTCATCTTTAGAACCTGCTGAAGTTGCATCTTTAGTGACCTCTAAAGGTTTTGCCATTGATTCAAAGTCATCCTGTTCCTTGACCTCGATGATGAATAATTGACCATCAACCTCGATGATAATTTCCTTGTAGGTATGTCTGGTTGCTGTTTTCGCCTCAATCGCAGTCACAGGGTCAGGTGATATTTTAGCTGCCTTATTGGGAGTAGAATACCCATTATGGATTTCAATTGCATCAGCTACCATAGTAAATGCGTCTTTGATTTCAACGACTTCATGTTGAGTCCCAACTTTAGTCTCTTCCACCTCTAACTGGGCAGTAAGCTGTATTGAACTTGATCCCTCATGCCTTGGAGTCTTTTCAATGGTGGCAAATCGGTTCTTGGAGCTTTGGACTGATGTGTCATGGCCTCTAGTTGTTGGTGTGGTGCCTCCTGCCGCTGACCCACACCCTGCCATATCCTCTTTGGCTATTTCCTGTTGTTCAAGGTGTGTCACCAGTACATCTTCATCAGCTTTGGAATTTTGGACAGTAGTTTTTGTGTCTTTCACAATGGGACATCCTATGTCCCCGCTTGGTTTCGGATCCTTGTTATTGGCTTTGGTTGAGGTTGCAGCATCTTTCTTAGGAAAAACATCATCTGCAATGTTGCATTTTCCGGCAATGTGCCCTGATTTTTGGCAATCCCTACAATACTTTGGGATGTCCTCGTAGCTCACTGGTTGGAAGAAACCATGGCCTCCATTATCAATCCATATCTTCTTCGGTAGTTCTTGTGTAATATCCATTTCAACACAAAAACGAGCCACAGACGGTCTGATTTTTGCAGAAGTAGAGGAGTCCATCATAATCGGGTTACCCAGGCATTTTGCAATACTGTAAAGAGCCCTAGCCTCTTGAAGATGGACAGGAAGATGAGGTAGAGAAGTCCATATCGGAAAGATGGGACTCTCAATGTCCACATGAAAATCAGGGCTCCATTTGGACACAATCATCGATGACCCATTGATTTTCCAAACCCGTTTAGAGAAACAACGTTGATAATCAACTGGGCATTTGAAATTCAAAAACAAAATTGATTGAGAAAGCAGACCAATTTTAAGATTCACTTTGAAACCAATTCTTTCCAAGCAGGAGCGGATGATATGGAGAGGGGGTCTAGATTTGTTGAAACGACCAACCAAGGCGTATTCATAAGGGGCAGAGAGTGATTTTACCTCATTCGGGGTGAAGGAAATCGCGGGAAATCCTTTGAATTTTTCGATCTGCTTGGATGGAAACCTTTCCGGTTGATTCGCAGATCCCAAAACTTCGAGGAAGCTTTTCTTGATATCTTCTCCAAGGTGAGACGCCATAGATGCCTGCGTTCTTGATAAGTTCTCCGAAGTGGTGGCCATCAGATTGTTTGTCGGAGACGCTGGCGTTCAACGCCATTGTCGCCGAAGTTGAAGAGAGAGGAAATTGTCCATATTATATATATATATATATATATATATATATATATATATACAACATCTTTAAGGAAAGGCTTCCAGACTCTGCGGTTTGGAAGAGGATGTTTAGAGTAAATGCAACGGCAACTGAACACACAACCTTGACAGATGGCACACTGAAATGGATGGACAAAGATTTCGCCCTGAAAGCAGCCTATCTCTCTACCCTGCAACCTGTCCCACCCCAGATACAGAACAAATTTATTTGGCACAAATATCAGACACCAAACATCAAGCTCTTCCTCTGGAAAGTCCATCACAATGCCCTCCCCTTCACACCTAATGTACGAACTCTCTCTATCCCTGTACGAGGGATATGTTTAGCATGCATGAGAAATGAAGATGGATGTAACCACACGCTTCTGGATTGTCCCACTGCCATGGATTTATGGAAATACTACGCACTACTGTTAGATGGACCACTACCCTCATCCAACAGTACAATCCAACATCACCTACTCCAATGGTGGACAAGAGCAAGGGGAAAAGGATTAGAAGGTAACCTACGTGTAGTGGTACCTGGTTTTATTGCATGGACCCTTTGGAAGAATCACACCTCGGCCCTCCATGAAGATAGGCAAAACAACATTCATGGCCTGATCAGAACTGTAACCTCTCTTATCCAAAGGTGGTGCTGGATAAATAGGAGGAAAAATGGCTATTTAAGGGACCAAATCAAAACAATGCACTCTGGAGAGGAGATTTCTTTTGGCTTAATGGAAGACGTCTGCTGACATCCTTAGTTTAATTTTACCAGTTTGTAATTTTTAAACACATTATCCTCCTTTCTTCCTTTACACCTTTGGGGCTAGGTCTTGCCCTCCCCAAACGTATTGTAACTTTGTTCACTTTAATAAATAATATATATATATATATATATATATATATATATATATATATATATATATATATATATATATATATATATATATATATATATATATATATATATATTCCCTCCGTCCCGGAGTATTCGTTCAGTTTTGACTTTTGGAACTGTTCATCTAAGCATTTTGACTCATCAAATTCTCTCAATGTGTAAGCCTAAATATAGTCATGTGTGATCTTGTTTGATTTATCTTAACATATAGATTATTAATATATAATTTCTATAATTTTTTAATATATAAATTACAAGATAAAATGGATTAAAGAAGTGCATTGGATGGTGTGTAAAAATGAAAATGGACAAATACTCTGGGACGGAGGTAGTATATATATATATATAGATATATATATATATATATATATATATATATATATATATATATATATATATATATATATATATATATATATATATATATATATATATATATATATATATATATATATATGGGATTGACTCCAGTCAGATGACATGTTTCGGTCAGATGACACTTTCGGTCAGATGACAACGAATACTCATTCTAAATCAATGTAGCGCTCATTCTTAAACAACGTAGGATTCATTCTCACACAACTGTTCATCACAATGTAGTGTTCACTCATAGCCAGCGAGACGACAACATAGGAGTTCATTTTGAATCCACGTAGTTTTCATTCTAAGACATCGTAGGGTTGACTTTCACACATTTGCTCATTATAAACGTAGTACTCATTCTGAAACAACCTAGTACTCATTCACAGTCTGCTCAGTGTAGTGCTCATTCTGAAATAAGGTGGTGCTCATTCTCAAACAAGGTGGTGCTCATTCTGAAGCATGTCATCTGACCGAAAGATGTCATCTGACTGGAAACAATCCATATATATATATATATATATATATATATATA